CTCCGTATCAGCAACTCCCCCCCATGATGGATCCGCACCTTCACTGGTGAGCGTCCTCCGTATCAGCATCCTCCGTATCAGCGACTCGTATCACCAGCGGATCCTCCGTATCAGCATCCTCCGTATCAACATCCTCCGTATCAGCATCCTCCGTATCAGGGAGCCACCATATCAGCGACTCGTCCTCCGTATCGTATCAGCGAGCCACCGTATCAGCAACTCGTATCAGCATCCTCCGTATCAGCGACTCGTATCAGCATCCTCCGTATCAGCAGTGAGCCTCCGTATCAGCATCCTCCTCTGTATCCTTATCAGAGGATCACCATGGGCAAGTCCCTTGCAAAGTTTTGCGATAAAAAGAATAAAGCTGCTTGCTGAGGGGGGGGAGGGAGCTGCATGATGAATTCCTACTACACAAATTCCTACAGAAATTTAGTACTAGAAAATAATCAATCATCGCCAATGACTCCAGTCCCTTGTATGTGGGAGTGTGTATCATTATTTGTATCATTCAGTTAGCAGTTATACGGTGGGTTATTATACTAATTAGGCAACTCCAGTAGTTAATAAAATAATACAAGTACACACATCAGCACCGTAGAAATGTACACAGAAAAATTTTGATACTACTAAATATGAGGGGTACGGAAATATGTACCATATAATATACAGTCAAAACAACGGTAAAAAATACATGTGTATCATTTAGCAGATACCGTGGGGGTATTCGACCATAATGCAACTAAAAATGCAAAAGTAGAAAATCATGTACAATTCTACGTACGTGTACATCGTACTTATTTCTGCTGCCGGCATACCATGTCAGTAGAGTAAAGCAAAAAAATTGCGAAGTCCGTATCGGTAAGTCGATTGAGCAGAATTACTTTCATTTACAAGCTAAAGGCAATTTCCATACTAAACAGACATATGATGGAGGTAATTCTTGACAATAACAGAAATATATTACTATTTTGATATTATTCTAAGTTAATAAATTGCGTGTGCAATAAGTAGTTAGTGTAGTGTTAATCTATTGATAACACATTACTAAACAGTATGCACACTAAGACTTAGCTAATAGTCAACATCATGGTGTTGAGGGCATGAAAGGGTGTTTAATTGAGTTAAAAGAAAAGAAGTTTGGTCATGTCAATGGTTTGACCGTTGTCAGGGAAGCATGTTTGTCAGTGGTCAATGTTACATACCTAGACATTTTCTTCGTGCATAACTCTGGTGAGTGTTGTGTCGTATTTTGTTCAGCACCTGTGGCAACAGGAGGGTGTTCTCCAAGTATAGACAAAATTCGTCCTCCCCACTAAGTTCTCCACACATGCTCACATCACCATCTGCAATGGCCTGTTGACAAACATGTTTGTTGATCTTGTCACTTATCAGGAATTTGATGTCTTTGAAAACATTTGGTTTGATATACCCTTGAAAATTTCTTGTGAGTAGCTTCTTGTTCAATTTTGAAACCTTTTCCCCAGGAACCACMGCTACAATAATCAAACCTTGTGTGCTGGTTCCTGCTGCACCGTGAGCAGTTTTTACCTTCTTYGATACCCACATGATCTTGTTGTTCTCCTTTTCCTTCAACTACCTTTTGGGTTCTTTGTTTTTTCTCGTGAGTGTTGCAATTGTAATCGTGTTGTCGTTATCATCATTACTGGTGTTATCATTGACCACACCCTTGTCTGCACATAGGGCTGTTTGCATGGGCATTTTTTTCAGTTTTTGTTTTTTACCTTTGTTGCATCTTTATCAAACCCCGTTTCTTTTAGTATCATTGACCTTTTTTGTTTTCCTGCGGTTGGGTGTGTTGCTCGTCTTGGTGCCATTGTGTTGATCAAAGCTAGTAGTAGCTGAATGGTGCATACTAGTATTTTGTGTGGTTTTCAGAAATTAAATCGTTGGTGGTTCTAACACCTGTATTTTGCATCCCACCCTGTCTACTGTACTCTCCATTTGGTGTCACCCTACAAGCCAGCCTTGCCACACCATATTTTTGACCCTTACTTCTGTGGGTTGTCCCTCATGTTTTGTTTGGTTTGTACAAGGGTGGTACTACGGTTCCAGGCACAGGGGAAGAAAAATTATCTGGTCGAAATTTATGATTAGAAGGTTTCCGTAAAAACTAGGACAACCAGGACCAAGCTAATGGTTTTTGATGAAACAAATTTTCGACAGGACTGGTTTACTACTGTAACATCGTGCTTGGAATAGTACTAGGGGCAACAGCAACATGTGTTTGACAGATGGGAAGGAACGGAAGAAACTGATATTTAAAACGGGTGGCTGTTAAAGACAGACATTGGAAAAACTGGGAGTGATCTACAAATCAATGTATTCAAAAGCGATCATGACCATCCGCGACCAATCTCACTTGCATTATGACCAGATACAACCCATTGGGTTTGCTATTGGAGCAAAAGTGACCATCACAACAAAAATAGAAAGGGTTTGACATGTGATTTTTTAAAACGGGGGAGAGTATTCTCTAAAATAACATCGTGAGAGCATGCGAGAGGGTGCAATCACTTTTTGTGACACATATTTTTTGTGATTGGTTTTGATCGCGTTTTTCAACAGATTAGATTTATATGTACTATTGTAGATGCATGGCTACTCAAGAAAACATGATCCAGTTGTACATTTGTAATACTCAATATTTGTATAGTAATATAATTAAATACTCAAGAACCACCTATAACCCCCCATATCACTGAATTTTTCTTTTTACTGGGATTTGATTCATGTGCTTATGATTGTTAAGTGTCCGTTGGGGACCAAGATACAGCTCAAACTGTCAGTTCAAGACTAAAACAGTTATACAATTAAACAACACAGTGCATGGATAATGGGCCATCTTTTACTGTGTAATGACTCGTGGGACTGAAAATTGAGTTGTACTACAGCTACTACTACTAGTACTGCAGGGCATGTGAATGCAAAACTATTTGGTCCCAAGACTGGTGGGAATTAAATTTGAGCACGTCCCCTGCTGTACTGGTAGTACAATTCATTTTTTTAGTCAAAGTAGTCATTACACACAAAAAGATAGCTTATTCTACACCTGTATGGTAGATCTGCTGGCCAACTCTATATGATATTAGAAGTAATTCATATACATTTATTATTATTCACAGTAGTAGTAGCAGCACCTGGGATTACAATTCATATAATTTATATTCATACATAAATACTCATAGAAGTAGCACCTTGTGGTGTGCATTCTTAGGAAGGCATCTTATGTACATAGTACTGGACTGGTGTACTAGTACAAGCTTGTGTAAAATACTAGTATTATTTATATCTAGATATCAAGATCTAATATAGTAAAGGGACTATTACTATAGTAGTAGTTCTATGCAAACCAGTTCAAATTTGTGATCAAGAATGATCACAAAAAACTGATCACAATTTGTTACGTACCTCTGCTTGACAAAAGAAGAATAAGCAGTGGCATTTTTGACTCCTTGGGAACATGTGTGACCCCTACTATCAACATACATATCAATCAAATCCTTCTTATAACAAGAGGAATATAATTATGGTTT